GGCAATTTTGAGAAAATTGTCAGGGAAAGTCAGGGAAAAGTCAGGGAATTTTTTCGAACATTTGCAGTGGACACCCTGTGTTAGATAGCCCATTTATCGAGGAAGGCTATAGGCTATACAACATCACGCTACGATCAATAGGAGCAGAGCAACAATGAAAAATGTTGCGAAAATGGGTATCCACGCGTACGAAGTCGCGGGCACAGCTAGTTTGTAAATATACTTTTTGTGACAGTTATCTTCAATGAAAATTATTTCGTTAAATTGTATTTTAAAGGAAAACCTTTCTTGTGATTGAAAACGGATTAAAGGAACTATTCTGTATCTTACTCATTTCAGAAAACAACCGTCAGGATGGCGAGTCCGCGTTGGTTCGTCGTACAAGAGTCAGGGTGGCGTTGTCTTATCCGTAAAATCAACATTATCGCATCCCCGTTACAAATTTCATGATGGGTTTGATTACGACATAGGTATCATGTGGCTTTCGACCCCATTGAGGTTTAGTAAGAAAGTCGCAGCTATACCAATGAAGAATTCAAACGAAGAAGTGCCTGAAGGTGCGATGATACAAGTGACGGGATTTGGAGATACCCAACCTCAATTTAGAAAAGTAATTAGTTTTTTTCCACCAGTACCAGTTCACCCCTTCAGGTCATAGCAGACTTATCAACTCGAAAAGGGATCAACGCTGAATTGCCATTCGCGAGCTGTCATTGCTTTTCGCGCGCTGTTAACCGCGAGGCGAGGCGTTTACGTTACGGTGCGGATAAGTGAGCGTTGCAGTTGGAGTTTCATACAAATAAAAATACTGACCGCCTCGAGTTGATATGGTTACGATCCCTTCCCGGGTTTTTATAAATATGCTAAGTCCTTTAAAGTATCAATCCCGTAATTTTACAATACTTTCTTTATATTTCGTTAATCAATAATACTTTTAAGGGCTACATTAAAAACATTAGTAAGGCGGTTATCACACTGCGCCGCGCTCCGCCGCGGAGCGCGTGATTTTCATATAAAAAATCACGCGCGCGGACGCGTTGTCAGTGTGAAGTGCCGCGCGTGTTTTCTATACAAACTGAGATACTTGCATACAATGATTAAATCTGTCGCCCCGCGCTCCGCGGCGGAGCGCGGCGCAGTGTGATAACCGCCTAATGACACCCTCGACGGTCTCCCTAATTTTATTCTTCGATATCCTTCCTACTATAATATTATAAATGCGAAAGTTTGGATGTCTGGATGTTTGTTAGGTACTCTTTCACGCAAAAACTACAGAATGGATTGTTATGAAACTTTACAGTATTATTGTTTATAACCCAGAATAACATAAAGGCTATAATTTATGACGATCTGTGACAAACTAAATTCCACGCGGGTGAAGCCGCGGGCAAAAGCTAGTGATTTATAATTTTGTCTTAACTGATCAGTACCTCTAGTACGAAAAACTTTCGAGTTCGTTTCGTTGCGTATTCAAAGTGTCATCGAAAAATTTTGTATGAAAAATTAAACAGCGCCCCCTAGGGCGGCTATAATATAGGGGGCGCTGTTTACGATCGATTCCCGGGTTTTTATAAATATGCTAAGTCCGCCCCCTAGGGCGGCTATAATATAGGGGGCGCTGTTTAATTTTTCATACAAAATTTTTCGATGACACTTTGAATACGCAACGAAACGAACTCGAAAGTTTTTCCTACTAGAGGTACAGGTGGAATTGTGTAAAGCAATCGTAATTGACAGTTCATAAAGTACGATAAAGTCAGTTAAACAAAGCGTTTGACAGAATAATCGTACGTTATGAACTGTCAAATGATTACGATTGCTTTACACAATAAAATTCCACCTCATATGTCATGAAAATTTAATTTATCAAATAATGAAAATTTGATCCAAGCAGTTTTTTTATTTCAAACTTCGTTATATTATAGTCTGTTTACAGATAGAAGACGATGATCAGCTACGAAGGATTCTGGTTCCCACAATTAATTTTGAAGCATGTAAAGCGGTGTATAAACCAAGAGAACATGTTAGTTCTCGAATGCTTTGTGCAGGCACTTCTGAAGGTGGAATAGATTCTTGTAAGGTAAAAAAACTTGAGGCTGAACTGTATAATAAGGCATTTTAGTATCTTTTGTTAATATTTACAGTAAAACTAATTTTAATAAAACATGGCTTTGCAGGATTTCCACCCCTTCTGTATTTTTTTTGATTGAAGGCCGTAAGTTTCAAATTTCAATCTCAGGACACAATTATTAAGACTACTTTCTGTAATTTATTGACACGGAAAATTATGCAGACTTGGGTCAAAGTCTTTCCGTCTTTTACATATTAATGATCCACACGATACAAGAAAAACTCCTTAAGCATAGCAGACTTATCAACTCCAAAAAGGATTAACACCGTATCGCCTTTCGCGACCTGTCATCGCTTTTTGCGCGCTGTCAACCGCGAGTTGAGGCGTTTATGTTACGATGCGGATAAGTGTGCATTGCAGTAGGAAGTTTCATACAAAGAATACCTACTGACCGCCTCGATTTGATACGGTTACGATCCCTTTCTGGGTTGATAAATGTGTTAATTCCTTAAACCTTATCCAGTAATTATACAATTTAATTTTTATGCAGGGTGACAGCGGTGGTCCTCTCGTCCACGACGGCAAACTGGCTGGTATAGTCTCCTTTGGTAAAGGATGTGCCAGGAAAAAATACCCTGGAGTGTACACCAAAGTATCAGCCTTGAGGAAATGGATTGATGAGGAGGTCCGCAAGAAAAAACTGCACAAGGAGTGGGAAAAGGATTTCGAGTGATTTGTCTTTTTTAATTTGGAATAAAATTTTGGGATTATAACTGTCTGTTCTATTTTTTTACATAAACTTCCTTCACATAATTATGTATTTACCAATTAATAAATAACAAATAAAATAATATCCTTGGAAATTTCACACTACGCATCTAGTCCCAAATTAAGAAAACATTGAACTAAAATAACGGATATAAACATACTTTAGTTAAGTATGTTAATTTTCTACAAATATTATATTGTAGGTACTGTATATTTATAGATAGATAGATAACACCCAGGCTAATACAAACAATATCTTCATGCACACAAATATGTGTACTGTGTGGAAATCGAACCCGCGACCTCTGGTATAGTAGTCCATTACGAACGACCCAATACAACACGGTCGATATTTTTATTTTTATTATAAAACCTAGAATAACAAATTGTGGTTCGAATTATACGAAAGGTCAGCACAAGCTTAAGTATATTGGTGTAGGTAAAATGGTAAGAAACTCGTGTGATTCCACTGCAAAGTTACAGGTCAGCGAACTTATTAACGCGAAAAGAAATCAACACCGTATCGCCTTTCGCTGCGCTGTCAAAAGCGAGGCGAGGCGTTTACGTTAAGTTGCGGGTAAGGCCCAGAACAGACGGTGAAACGCAACTGCAACGAAACTGCAACTGTTAGTTACTTTTGAGTTGCATCTAAGTTTCTGCCATAGCGTCTGTTGAGAGACCACACATGACGCGACCAGTTTGAAACTTTCGGTTTCAGTTTCATTCATTAGAATCATCAGAAAGTTGCAGTTTCGTTGCAGTTGCGTTTCACAGTCTGTTCTGGGCCTAAGTGTGCGTTGCAGTATGGAGTTTCATACACAGAAAACTGGACCGCCTCGAGATGAGACGGTTACGATCCCTTTCCAGGTTGATAAGTGTGCTTCGTCCTTAAGTTTATGGTGTGCTCCCATCACCATCTTTTCAAATTCAGTAAAATCGAATGTAGGTTTAGTTAATACATATAACTGACGATCATTGCAAACGTAGCTATAGGGATAGAGACATGAGATTTTTGGTTTTACAAAGGTAATATATGATAGAAAATAACACAAAGTTATAGAAACCACCTGTTATATGGGCATTTTTTGGAGAAATTTCTCAAATAATCAAAAAAACACGAATTAAAATGCATATTTTTTTCAGAAAATTTTTTTTTTATTATTTGTTGGCATTTTCTGGGTATTTTATGTATTTTTTTAGTGTCGTCTGTAATTTAGTATTATTACTGTTTATATTTTATCAGGATATACCTCTTAGTTTAAAAGTTATTACGTTTTCTTAACAATAAGTATTTGAACGAAAAAAAATCTATAAAAATTTTAAAAAATCTCAGATATTTTTTGACCTTTTTTGTCGATAAAAATTGATCTAGTTTCATCTGTTTTCATATGTGTATTTTATCAAGACTCACACTGCATAAATAAAAGTTGCTATCTGTGGCATACCGGAATAATGCTGGCGAAACCGCGGGCAATAGCTAGCTATAATAATAATATGTTGCAGTGCAAAACTGATTCTTATACAGTACAAAATACCACAAAACGCATACTCAAATCCTTAGAAAATTTGTCTTACATAAAAATGTTGATAAGAAAACTATTTTTCATAAAATGTTACGTATGTATTTATTGTAAACGTGTTAAAAAGTGATAGATGATATTTAATAATATTATACATTTACATACTTTCATACATTTTGGAATTTAAATAACTCGTTAAAATTATTTTATTTAAGGTATGTCGTACACTGACAATTTGCTTTTAATTTTATGAAATGTTTTTTATTGTGACGAAAAATGGTTTAAATTTTAATATAAGCCACATTATTTTGATGATTATTAATCTAGTTTTCAATAGTAAATCTTCTTAATCATTATCAATACATAAAATCGTTATTTTTTACTTGAAGCCTAAATGCGTAATATCGTTTGTAATGCGAACAGCTAGGGACTGGAATTCGCTGCCTGCTGCTGTATTTCCTGTAGGCCTAAGATGCACGCCGCGATAAGCGCTTATCACGCCATTTTATCGATTTTGCCCATACATTTTGGCGTCGATAAAAGTTATCACGGCGCGCATCTTAGGCCTACTGAACACTATAATCCGGGCGTTTTCAAGGCGAGAGTGAATAGGCACTTACAGGACAGCTGATAATAATATGTACCATCCTAGACTGCATCTCACTTAACACCAGGTGCGATTGCGGTCAACCTGCCTTGTCTAGCATAAAAAAATGTTTTTTTCAAAACCTATAAATTAGTTTCCCATACAACCTTTCACTAATTTTTTATTATTATCCTTGTATTTTTTAAGGAAAACTGCTGCACACTGTACGCCTTACCTTATACCAGTCGCGTTACTGGGCACCTATATAAACATAAGAAAGAATTTCACTATCGACTTACTTAGCTTTCTCTTGCTAAGTTTGGGTTCTGTATAACAACCAAAATGTGGTTCGCTGTAATTCTATTTCTGCAAGCACAGTTTTTCAACGGCCACGCTGGAGGTAATTAAATTTAAATATAACCAGAGAGTACTTATTGTGGTAATACTTGATGGTTTTTTCTCACTTCTATTTATTTTATGTACCTACTTGTTCCCAAGAGTACACTATTTCCCAGGAATATTTTTAAACTAGGAACCTTTCATGCTGAATAGGCTAGTTTCCTAAAAAAAATTTTTTAGTCCGTAATGTTAATATCAAAAAATATTGGACACATATATTTTTATTAATTTGTCAATCTAACAAATAATTACATAGTTATGGTGCGTTGAAGTTCCGCACGACGTCACAATGTGCGGCACTTTTATGCACGCATTGACGTCACGGGCCTCTTCTTACTAACTTTGGGACGCTTTATCTCATTATCATTAGTTTGAAAAAGTGAAAAATACGTGTAGAGTATTTTTTGATAAGTTAACTGACGGACTAATTAAAACTCTTGCTTTTTGACCCAGGAAACATCCCTATTCTTATCAACCTCGCAACCGTATCAACTCGAGGCGGTCAGTTTATTTGTATGACACTCCGTACCGCTCCGTTATCAACTGGAAAGGGATCAACACCGTATGGCCTTCCGCGAGCTGTCATCGCCTTACTCGAGCTGTCAATTGCGAGGCGAGGCGTTTATGTAACGGTGCGAATAAGTGTGCGTTGAAGTGTGGAGTTTCATACAAAGAATACTGACCGTCTCGAGTTGATACGGTTACGATCCCTTTCCTGGTTGATAAATATGCGACGTCCTTTATCTTCATCGTATGTAACCGTAAACGCCTCGCCTCGGTTGACAGCGCGGCGAAAGGCGATACGGCGTTGATCCCCTTCCGGGTTGATAAGTGTGCTGTGACCTTTGACAGAGTAAATACAAATAAGTAGGTTATCTTCATAGGAACGCACCGAACGCGGTTTGTATGTGAGCGCGCCAATACGTATGCGGCGCGCACGCACACACTGACAAAATTCGGCGCTACACCCCGCTAATCCACGCTAAATTGTTGTTGCTCGGTGCGTTTCTATGAAGATGACCTACTCATTTGTATTTATTTACTCTGGCGATACGGTGTTGATTTAAACTTATCAACCTGGAAGGGGTCCAGGTTGATAAATTTAATGTGCCGTGACCTTAGACCAGCCAGAACAGGCTGGTTTCGTCAAAGGTAAACTCAACCCAACCCAACTCCATAGAACGACTGGTCGTCCAGGGAAAAGTTGAAGGAACCCGATCGCGTGGCAGGTCACCAATGCGCTGGACCGACCAAGTGAAAGCAGCAGTGGGAGACGGCTTATGTGACTGCACCAGACAGTCTGCCAATAGAGAAAGATGGAGGGAGATCGTGCGGAGAGTTGTATCCGCCTCTACAACCGATGTGAACAACGCCTCAACGTGACCACGACCGCTCTGCCAAGAGCGTAACGAATAAGAAGAAGAAGAAGACCTTAGACCATTTTTTTGTTGCAGTGGTGGGGTCATTTAGCCGCGGTAACAATGAAATTGTTGGAGGCGAAGAGATAGAGATAACTGATGCTCCTCACCAAGCAGGGCTGCTGTTCAAGGGTGACTTCATCTGTGGAGGTTCAATAGTAGCCAAGGACGTCGTTATTACTGCAGCACATTGTTTGTCCACGTAATGCCCTTTTGATTCAACTGTATCGATAATCATCATTATCATCACATCATTTCAGCCATAGGACATCCACTGCTGAACATAGACTTTCATATTTTTCAATAACAATGATTTTCATGTTGATCTATTAGTAGCGGCCTGCTTCCAGCGCTTTCCTGCTACCTTTATGATGTCGTCGGTCCACCTTGTGGGTGGACGTCCCACGCTGCGTTTTCCGGTACACGGACTCCACTCCAGAACCGTCAGTTCTGTGATCGATAAATCAATGGACCATGGAAAAGAAATCAAATCCGAAAAAAGAAGATGGTGGCGTCCGTCCTAAAAGTCCGTTTTAAAAACCTCGTGAAGTCATAAAGATGAAATAATAATCGTATTATGTAAATTTCTTTTAGCACAAACCTATTGGATTACACAGTTCGCGTTGGGTCGTCGTATTCTGGTAGCGGTGGTCAGCTCGTACGGGTTGCCAAAGTACTAAGCCACCCAGATTATAACTTCAACAACGATATAGCTATCGTTTGGCTTTCTAAACCAGTTACATTCAGTGACAAAGTCGCGGCTATACCAATGAAGGATTCAAACGAAGAAGTACCTGATGGTGCGATGACACAAGTGACAGGATATGGAGCTACCGACCCTTGGTTTAAAGTAAGGAGATTTTATTACATAGTGAATACTATGCATAGCCTATTAGTTTCGGAAGAGCAGGATAGGAACATCCCCAATCTTTAAAAATGGCCCATAAAAAGGTAATGAGTCAATTTCCTTTTAAGGGATAAAAAAAACATAAGCACATAAACTGGCAATAATTGATCAGCTTTCAATGCTGGTCAAATAAGAACAAAATTCAACGTCAGTGGTTCGTCAAATATTTTTAAAATTTATTCCTTTTAAGTTACAGAACTACAACGTTAAGCTGCGAAGAGTTATGGTTCCCAAAGTGAACCATGATGTATGTCAAAAAGCATATGAACCTACAAAAATCACCCCACAAATGCTGTGCGCGGGCTTTCCTGAAGGCGGGAAGGATTCTTGCCAGGTAAAGCGTTCTTATTTGTATTCTTTTACTATTTAAGCTAAAATATAAATAAGGCCTCTCACTAGGTGAACCAACGATCTAGTGAAGGTTTCAGGGAACAACTAGATGCGGGTAACGCAATCTGTCGTTGTGGAAACCCTTGGGGGAGACCTTTATCCATGAGTGGACGTCATAAACTGAAATGACGACGAGAGCGATAAGTGACACTGCTTCATGAATCTCAGCAATATCCGTGACAAACGCGACATAAAGCTATGCTATGCGACTGTGCGCTACACGAACATACGTTAAGTCACACTAGTCGCATACTCTTAACGTCATAAAAATTTACAATGGGTAGGTCAAATGGTAGTTTCTTTCCCGCGGGACAAACCTGATCTTCCCTGCTAGAGTTTTTGGGGCGGTCAAGCTGTAGATCCCAGCTACACGGGAGTTGCAGTAATTGGAACGCCAAGTGGGAAGTCTCAATAGGTATTGCACGTGTTGAGAGTGAGACACAGAATAAAATGGTACACGGTACACTTGACAAAGACCTCCCCCAAGGATTTCGACCGGTCCTACGGGACCTTTACCTGATCTTTGGTCCACCTTTTGGGGGACCTGCCCACACTACGTCTTTCGAAACCAATGATGATGAAAAAAAGTATCTGAAACTATTTTTTATACAGGGTGATAGTGGTGGTCCTCTCATCCACGACGGCAAACTGGCTGGTATAGTGTCCTTTGGTGCAGGATGCGCTAGACCAGATTACCCTGGAGTGTACGCCAAGATGTCAGCTCTGAGGAAGTGGGTTGATGACCAGCTCCATCTTAGGAAGTTGGAGCAGATATTGAGGGCGGATTCCAATTAATTTGTAACTCTGTTCCAAATAAATTCTTCGGAGTTTGAATTTTATTTGTTTTTTTTTTTCATACATCTGATGTACCGCATCACAATACACCCGACAAAGTGTAGGTATTACTATCATTTTATTCCCAAGGTCATATGTTTTTACCCGACTGCCCAGAAGGAGGGTTATTGTAAGTATACGTCCTTGAACTAATAAAGCTCTGGGTTTATAGTGTAGGTACCTACCTATTTAAATTAACGAAATGTGTCATTTTCAGTTAAGTATGTAGTATGAAATATTTTGTTTGTTTGAAAACCGAGTCACTTGAAATCTACTAGAAAACCAAAGATTTTTATTTTCCTTACATTGCTGTTCCTGAAACATTAGAACACACTTATAACTGTGGATTTTATTTATTTCGATATGAGTAGATTTTGAAAGAAAGAAAGAAAATGGTAAAAGAAAATTATAAGGTACTCACCGTCCTGTAATAGAAAAAATAGTTATTATCAGCTAAATGAAAAAAATATACATCAATCAATTAATAAATCCCTAAGGAACTGCGAACACTATTAGTATGAATTATTTTTATACATACTTATATTTATATTTGAAAAGGGATTAACACCGTATCGCCTTTTGCGAGCTGTCATCGCTTTTCGCGCGCTGTCAATTGCGAGGCGAGGCGTTTACGTTACGGTGCGGATAAGTGTGCGTTGCAGTATGGAGTTTTATACTGGGTGGCGCAAAAGTAAAGACCCTATTTGGTTCAGCTATAACATTTTTTCTAAATTAGAAAACTAGATTTAGGTTTTTTTAAATGTATATTTGTGCCATTAAATTTCGTACCATTAGGATTTAAAGATAATGTCTTTTAACCCTTCATTTGGCAGTGATGCTTTTAAGCAACAACCACTTTGAATATTTCTACAGCACCAAATAATAAGTTTTGTGCAAATCATTCGATTTTGTTACAAAGCTTAGTTCAGCAAAACACTAGTAAATCGGTCGTCCACTGAGTTTTGAGTGATTTCATATCCATATTTCTGTCAGACGCCAAGATGACGCGCAATGAGAATAACAACGACGGAAGTTTTATGATTTTGTACTATTTTATCACCTCTGATTGTTTTTGTTTTGTCTAAATTTAATTTATAATAAATCAAACTAATCATATAAAGCAATATTTGGCGTAGAAACCGTGTTTTCTAATACATGACATGCTTCCGAACCTCGATGTTGCCTAGAAGCAACAGTGCCAAATAGCTAACAAAATAGGTTTAGCTTTTTGTTAATACAAAAGAGTGTCAATACACAATAAATCAATCATGTATTACATGAATAATGTTATAGAGATGGTATAGTAATTACTTTTGATGCAATTATGGACCCTGTCGGGCACAGCATTTTAGGAGAGAGGAAGAATTAGCTGTCTGTCTCTGTGTTGTTTGTCTTCACACTTATACCGCTGAACTGATTTAAATGATAAACACATTTTTCTTGCGTTGTAGTCAACAANACGAGACTCTGTGGCTTGTTCACATACACCCGAGATTTCAAAAAACCTCAAAGAAAGAAGTCTGGACTGGTCAGATCGGGTGATCTTGCAGGCCAAGGCAAATCGCCAAAACGAGAGATAACTCGGCCTGGAAAAGCGTCCGTAAGAACATTGACACAATTATTCCACGTTCTTGGGGAGTAAAACGGTCCATGTTTATTTTCAGTGTATTTTACATTTGTTCACTACACAATTTTCAACAACAAAATGACAGAAAATGTCATATAAAAAAAAAGTATTTTCTTTAGTGCCAGTACTTTTGCGCCACCCAGTACAAAGAATACTGACCGCATCGAGTTGATACAGTTACGATCCTTTTCCGGGTTAATAAATGTGCTACGTCCTTTATACTAGTGTTACGAGTGGCTTCACCACAATAGTCGAGCGCCGCGGCGGGGTTCTAACCTACGTTTCTAGTGCATTTCAGTAGCACTAATATAAAAAAACATGAATTCCTCGGATCTCAAATCGAATGTCGTTTTTTCGGAATCAGCCATTCCGAAAAAACGTTCGATTTTAGTTACTAATAAAGAACGAAGTTCACTCGAGGCCGTAAACTCGAGGCGATCAGTATTCTTTGTATGAAACTCCGTACTGTAATGCACACTTTTCCGCACCGTAATGTAAACGCCTTGTCTCGTGTTTGACAGCGCGGCGAAAGGCGATACGATGTTGATCCCTTTACGCGTTGATAAGTGTGCTATGACTATAAATACAATATGTCTCGTCGCTTCTCCTCTCCGCTATGGATGAAACTGGGCCTAGCAACCGATATTTCTATGGATGTGTATGTCCTTCTGATTCAATTGCCCTTTTACTCATAGTTTTCCCGCGGGATCCTATCAAAGAAATGTTTCTCATAAAATCTGACAGATAATATTCTGAGCTTCTATTTCGTAACAGATAATAAATTATGGATTTGGTTATCATCATTTATTACTAGATTTATAAGCAAACAAGTTAGTCTTTGACTTAGTTTGCAGACCTTTTAATAAAAAAACTTTATATTAATAAATATACAGGGTGTTAGCGGTAAATGGGTATATGAGCCGACACTAGCTCATGTTAACATGGTCATATAAATGGTGAAGTCAGAAAATTGATATCTTCATTTTAATTATTTTAATTTTCATACAAATCGGATTTTATAAAATTTATTTTGTATGAAAATTAAATAAAACCGACTCCAAAAAACCTACACTAAAAAGTAGAATAATAATTACTAATTACCTACTTATTTATTAGGACGAATTATTAATATTTATGTAGGTATACCATGATTGATACTTCTGGAGTCGGTGCCAAGATTATGAAACATGTAAAGTTTGCCTGCACCGACTCCAAAAGTATCAATCATGGTATACCTACATAAATATTAATAATTCGTCCTAATAAAAAAAAAAAAAAAAAAAAACATACGGGTCGAATTGAGAACCTCCTCCTTTTTTTGAAGTCGGTTGAAAAAATAAAATCATGATATCAAATTTCTGACTTCACCATACCATTTATATGCCTATGTTAACATGGGCTAGTGTAGGCTCATATACCCATTTACCTAACACCCTGTAGATGCGCTTTGAGGAATTTTATTATTTTTTTGTTTAATTTTTTTTATTTTAATATTGAAACACTATTGTAATTAGTGGTCCATGCAAATAAAGAAATTTTGACTTTGACTTAAACTTTATTAACTTTAGGTGCGCCTTAAAATGTTCCGCGGAATATTTCAAAAATACAAAAAATATTCCAGCCTGATCAGCTGTCTGTATTTGTAAGGAAATAAGTTATTTTTACATTCCCCAGAAACATTTATTAACAATGTGGCGTATTGGCAAAAAACCGGCTCTGTCAGATTTGACCTCCCGAGAAAATGTCAAACGTGAAGTATTGACGAGGGTCCCGTTGACAACGTTATTACAGATTTTCTTGAATATTAGATTTTATGTCATCATTCAATATGGTAAGTTTATGAGGCACAGATCTTCGAGTCCTAACAATATTCGATATATTAAGAGAAACAAATTGGCTTATTTACCGTCAATAAGTAAATACGCTAACAATAACTCGCCCGAGGTCACTAAAGTTGCGAACTGCGACGTCGTCCAATCATACGTCTACCTTGGTGCACTGATATCGAACAGTGGTGGATGCGCGGATGAGATCAAGCGGCGTATGGCTATTACCAGGTCCGCCATGGACCGGCTCAAGAAAATATGGAGAAACAGAAACATCACAAAGGCCACCAAAATGCGACTTGTCAGGGCATTAGTGTTTCCCATATTTCTTTACGGTGCTGAGACGTGGACTCTGAGAGAAAGTGAGAAGAAGAAGATAGACGCTCTAGAGATGTGGTGTTGGAGAAGGATGCTTGGCATAACCTGGACAGAGTTCCGAACCAACGTCTCGATCATCCAAGAGCTTGATGTCAAACAGCGTCTTTCTTCCATCGTCCAAAGTCGTATACTCACTGTCTTTGGCCATATAACACGTGGAGACGTCGCTTCTGTTGAACGACTTGTCGTGCAGGGGAAGGTTGAGGGCACAAGAGCGCGCGGCAGGTCGCCCATGCGCTGGACTGACCAGATCAAAACCGCACTCAATGGTCCACTCCACGAGTGCACAAGAAAGGCTGCAGTGCGGGAGGAATGGCGACGGATTGTGAGACTTGCCACCGGACCTGGTGTGACGACCACGACCACTCTGGCAAGAGTGTAGCGACGAAGAAGAAGAAAGTAAATACACTATTATGTTTATAATAAACATGATATGTTATGGTTAGCTGGAAGAGAATGCCACGTGGCATTAAGCGCGCCTGTTGTACCACTGTTTTTAAGTGTCCAATAAAGATTTTAAATAAATAAAATAAACAAGTGGTCGTCCAACCCCCGTTTTTTCACCTTATAGGGGTGGAATTTCGTAAAATCCGTTCTTAGCGGATGTCTACGACCTATAAAATAAAAAAAATAAAAAAAAGTATAATATTTCAAATAACAGGGATCCATAAATGTTAGTAAAAACTTAGGCACATTTCTAAAACAGACCTCGTCCTGCTGAGCATGTGGCCGATCAGTGGACAATCCACACTATCGGCTATCTCCTTCAGTACGCTGTGGCAGCTGCCGCGCCCTCTGTGCAGTAATGATGCGCACTTTTTGCGCATGACAGCTTCAAAGCTATCAACGCCCGCCAACGCAAACATCGCAGACGCACTACAAAACCGCGGCAGCCGCAACAGCGGCCTGAAGGCGTGATTATATTGGACACGCAGAGCACTGTAGGCTTTTTTGGTATAGTTGGTCCATAAGCTGCACGAATAAAATGACACACAATATGCTATAAAAAGCGTTATTTAAATAAATAAAGAACCCATCTGCCAAATTTCAAGTTTGTAGGTGTTATGGTTTCTGAGATTTCGTGATTAATCATTGAGTGGTATTTCGCTTTTGATAGATATTAATCGAGC